CCTGATTGAACTGATTCCAAAATTGATAGTTTACACTTTATCAACGGTCGTCCAGCAAGACGCTAACATCAGTATATCTTACCAATTTGAATATTTGTACTATCCCTGGCCAAAGGCTAATACATGCTTGTGATAATTTATAAGCTACGAGCTAGGTAACTGGATCTGGGCAGAGTTTTAACTAAAAAATTCACGACACAAGACAATGATTCTTATAAATGAAACAAGGGTTTATTGGCTATCCTAGATTACATTAAACTAAACTAATGAAAGCACACACACACACACATACGGTTGAAAGGATGAGGATTTTAACGGAGTTCTGAGGAAGTTCCCAAAGTTCCAATACTCGTTTTCTACGAGTATTTTAACTTCAACCTGAGAAAACTCATAAAAGCAGAGACTTGGCTTCGCGTGGCGCTCTTCCGGGAGTGCCTTTACTTGGCTTTAGACTTTGAAGATTTCGGCAGAAGCGGAGTCTCGGTGCATGTTACAGCATGTGAGCGCTTTGTAGCGCGGTCACCAAGGCGAAAAGCCAAAGATCTAGAGAAAGAGAGCAAGCGAGCGAGCCACGAGGGCTTTGTGTCCAGTTTTAAGCAGGCTGATTTTGGTCCATCCCAGACGTGATTGTTCCAATCAGATATTGGCTGCGGGACTTAGCCACGCCCCATACTGTTCCTTTATCATGCATGAATCACATGCTCCCCGTGGGGAGTATTTCTGCAAGTTTTAATAACTTCTTATAAAGTGTCGTACAACACACACTGTTCAAAATAAAACATTTTCATTCATACCAAGGTTATTCGAATATCATGACCATTTCCTCAAGCCCAAACTTCGCATATCTGGCATACACAGAGTACCTTTAATAACTTTATCTATTAAAAGGGGTTAAAAAACATCGATTCAAATATCATAGGTTCCAATAACACATCAAACAGAAAGCATATTATTTGGGAGTATATTGCTCCGATACTTTAAATTATTTTAAATGATTGTCTTTTAAACTTGGTCTATGCATCGTCTGCATTTCAGTTAGGTTTCAGAAAGGCAGGAAGCAGATGTTCAATGGGTCATGTGGTGTCACGCTGTGGTTTGCTGAGTTTGATTGAATCATGTTATCACTGTTCTTTGGGTCCGTTGTTTTTGCAGGCCTGAGGGTATCAGTTAATTTACTCGTCCTTTTCCTGTTGGATATAATAGTTCCATACATTGTGTGATCACAAGACATCACGAGGTTTCTATAGGTTGTGAAATAACTTTTTTTAGTCCTTGATACAAAGAAAGCTTTGTTGTCTCCTGATTGGATTAGTTTAGACCTCGTGATGAGTTGATTCAATGGCATATCCGTGTCTGTTCATGATAGAAATCCTACACTGACAAGCCTTAAAGGTCCCGCCCCTTAAAACAGGTCACTTTAGACAGAGGGTCAGAATAAGGGTTGAAAATGATAAATGATTTTGTGCAAAAAACCTTTATTAACATTATAAGTAAACCTCAAGGTACATATTGAAATTTAAAAAAAAAAATCAATTTCATGACACCTTTAAAACTAAACTAAAGCTGAACTTCTGTCACTGACAGTAACATAAATTATACAATACTATAACTGAGCAAATACTTTTTCATCAGATTAATCTAATATTGATTGTAAAATTGGTAAAATTCTTTGTCTATGGAAAAAATGTTAAAATATCATTCTATAACCAAAGTCACTATTTTAATTATTCAGGAGTCTTAAAAACAAAGTGTTAATCTTATCACCCAAACTCACTTAAATTGATGAAGATACACCAAAAAATCTTGGCCAAAAGATTAAATGTACTTTCAAAATCCTGTAGGAAGGGATCTGATACAGCTGAGCTCTAATTACACAGAAGAGGACCTTTAATAAGGTGGACTCAACATTGAAATACAGTGGAAATCTGCATTTTAATTTTTTTTTTAAAATCTCAATGATGATCCAGAGAAATTGGGTGCATCTGAACTAAATTCAGTCAAAGCAATAAAACTTAAGAATTCTTATGTCAATGTGATACTGTTTTTCAATATTTTTTTTTTATTTCTTTCACTACATTTGCAGTTATCACATCTGATTTTTCTTTGTCATTATGATTGATGTGAATGAAAAATAAAGGATTTTAGCATTAGGCTGCAACATCAAAAGTTGGGAAAAATGAAGGAGTCTGAATATATTTTAGTACAGTGACAGATGCCTACTGAAGTAAAACCATCTCACTGTTTGATTTTATTGTACAGCAGGTTTAAAAAGTCTCCAGACTGGTTAAAAACAGCATGCTGCACAAGTAAACATTTTTCACACAATGTACTAAAATTCATTGATTAATGAAAGTCTCTGTTTAATAATTAAGACAGCAAATGCAAAAATGGGGCATAACGAAAGAGTAATACAAATGTACAAACTGATCATTCTCAAAAAGACAAATCAAATTTCTCACAAACTGTGGGACAGACGAGGACTAAACTCTATCACATTTCTGCTTCAGTATTCACACTGTGAGTGTTTTGTGTGTTCAGAGATCTTGTTTGTTGTGCTACAGAAGCCCCTGTCGCTTCAGATCCTCATAAGTCTTCTTGTTGACCACGTTTCCGCTGGAGTCTTCATATTCCTCCTGCAAGATAACATGTATAGATATTTTCTTTCTTTCTGAACTCATAAACATCCAGTCTGAAGGTTTTTCCCGCTTGAAAACCTCACTAATCACTAATCTCTCTCCAACAAGGAACAAATCAAGCAGCCGAAGCAGAGTTTGAACAGCTGATTAACGCTGGTTAAACCAGATGCTTCAGTCAGAGCAGAGCTGTACAGCTGAATGTGACTTCACTCAGCGTAATGTCAGACTATTGAATGTGTTTGAGAAGAACTCACCTCTGTGTCTGGCTGCCAGCGCTCTAATGCTTTCTGTGACTTCAGCTTTGACCAGACTATTCCAGAGAAAAGAGAAACATGCATTTTAAGCACAAGAACAGATACCATTAGGGCCATTTTCCAGAACGGGACCCTTTTGTGTAATTTATTAACATGCATCAATATTAATTTATAGCCATTTTTCTCAACTTTTAAATGGTTTAAAATGGTAGGTTGTCTTTCTATACATTTTCAATTCATTTTTGTAAAGCTCAATGATATATGTTGTGTTCCATGCAACAATCTTGTCTCTTGTCTAAGAGTAGATCTCTCATTAGTGCATGATTCGACCCAAGTAAACATCTGGAGTGCCAGAAAACATCTGGAAACTGCATTAAAAGTCAGTAAAATCACTAACTAAATTGTAATCTGAGATCCTACTACATTAATACATCTGCTACATAGAATAATTTTTCTTGCAAATTTACTGCAAAGTGTCTTTGGAAGGCTTTGGGTCCTCTGTACGTGTAATTCCCACAGATCTCACAGTTGTAATTGATGTTCAGGCCGTGCAGCTTGTACAGCCAGTATGGAATCGGCTAAAGACAAACAAAAGACAAGGTTAATGACACACTATAAGTGTTTTAACACTAGAGCTGTGTGATACTGAACATGTGAAATAGTAAAGAGTTAAAATACTAAAAAAATACTATACTGTTCATTGTTTTGGCGGCAGGTTTTTGGGGTTGTATATGATCTCATTATGTTCGTCTTCACTCTCACTCTCGCTGGGCTGCTCTTCATCCTCCTCGTCACGCTCCTCTCCTGTGCGCGCCTGTTTCCTCTGGACGTTCTCATGGGTCAGCTGCCTTTGCTCCTGCAGCACACAACGAAACACACCAGCTTCAGCAACATCACTGCAGACAATTCACACCAACGGCACCAAACCAAGACCACTTGTTAGAGAAAAACACTAAAATACATAGTGAAGGGGATTTACTTAAAAATAACAAAAAGTAAACTAGATCTGAGAACACAATGCATGAGATACAGTTTCCCACAATTCAATGTGCTTGAATTTTCTGTTTCTAATGGAACAAATAAACAGAATGCTTATCATTTATCACCTGCCATCAGTGTTTAACATCTCTTCTTGGCTCATTACTTGATAGGACATATGTAAATGTGGATTACAAATGATTTATATACTTGCAGAGACGATTATTGTAACACTGTCCCATTTTACTGTTCCAGTAAACACCCAGGAAAAAGGCATTACCGGTTTTTGTCCTTGTTTAGGGGCCCATCCTGTACAGTGTCCTGTGTTCCGTCGTTGAGTCTCAGAGGCAGTGCACATAATAATCAATATATTTGTATAAAGGTAAATAAATAAAGCTATTTTTAGAGATTTTCAGAAAATTCAAAATATCAGAATTTTATCAATGGAAATAAGATCGGAGATGTTTTATGGGGATTGATTGAAGAATTCATAGAAAAACTAATTTAGACTCCAGTCGTTACTGTTCCAGATTAGTTATCTAAAATGTAAATGGTCTCATCAAAACACCACATATTGTCAAACAGATGTGTCTCTGTGTGCCTGCATAGATGTGCATACTTGGGACCATCCTGCCAAGTGTGGGGTGTCTGTGGGAATACAGGAACAGCAATTCTGCTTATAGTTTTCAGTACTGCAGTACAATATGGTAAATAGTTGCAGTATCACTTCATTTTTTGTTGTTACCCTATTTTATGTCAGCTTTGGATTCTCACTAATTCTAAGTTTAAGTTTGAGACCTAGTGAACTTTAGCATATGAGTTCATAGTATAGGCACATAGTGTTTCTTTACAGTGACAACTACTGGCCTGTCAGCATAATGCAGTGTTTTTAGTTCTCATGGATCTGTGTGAACAAGGATCGTTTAGACAATGCTGTCGTCTATACATGAAACTTAAAAAAAAAAAATGCTAAAAGAAAAATGTTCTGCTTTTAGTACAATGTTGTGAGAACGTACTCTAATTTCCCTAATGTCCCAATTGATTTTCATCACTTTAATGTTTTCATTTTAGTCCTGATGTAAGTGAAAGAAGAACAAGATCTGAATGAAGTGGAGAAGCATCAGGATCAGAAAGCTCATGATGCCACTTGAGAAAAATCAGTGAGTTGCTCCAAAACTGAAAACAGCTGCTCACAAAGCAACATTCAAATAAAAGAAGTCTTCTGGCCTTTCACCTGCTGTGAATGTCGAAACGCATTCACTCATAGAAAATACCTTAAAGGTCCCGTATTGTCAAAACTGAAATTTCCTGGCTTTGTTCGTGATAACTGAGGTCTACGGGCTATTTAACCACCATATAAGTTTCAAAACAGTCAGTCCACAGTAAACAACACACAGCCTGCTTAAAGTAGCTGTGATTTTTCACAAACCGTTGTGACTTCCGTAAAAAGTTGACGTCAGAACTACACAGTCACTGCCTTCAGTCACCACCCCGAGCACCGCCCACCGTCCCACTCTCCTTTTGCCAAACCCCCAGACAACATC